GGAGAGATAATTTTAGTTGTTTGTGTGTTGGAGGCTATAGATGCTACTTGGTTGTTGATTACATAAAATGAGATTAGAATTTGGAACCCGATGGTGGAATAGGAAGTGGTTAAACCACAAAATCAATAAAACAAGTCTTTCTGTTGAAAATTTAAAATCAGTCACACTGTACAATGATGTACTGCTTAGATTTAAACATAGGCATTGATATGTATATCATGAAATACATGTGTCACCTTGGTCGAAACAGTAAATGTCCCACTCACAAACTTGTTTGAAGGAACAAAAGGAGAGGTCAAAGCAAAACCACACATCAGTCCATGAAGTCATTGATTACTGGATTCAGTAATATTCTTAGGTGAAGACTATCTGAATGTTGTGTCACACAATAACCTCGAACAGTAATTGGAAATGTTAGATGACATGGCTCATAATCCATTCATTATCTTACATTAGATACCAAGTTTTAGCATCATTTGATATAAATATACCTTTCCCCAGTAAATAGTGTTTCTTATTATTATTTCTACTTCCGGTTAATTGAATCTCCACTACGTTGATGTGATACATCAACTTCAAAAAAACACAAACCATTTTGTTAAGCTCTAACATTATGACTAACTGTAAGAATGAATCCATTTCAATCATATTGATCAGCATTACAAATTATAATGAATATTAACTTTAAAAAACCCCTTATTTTAACGTAATTCTTGGCTTTAAACAAAAGTACGCACCACCACCACCACCACTACCCCCCCCCATATTATTTTCATTCTCAAGTCATTTATTAATTGAACAATGACATAAAAATGAGTGCATAAAAGTACAATTAGAAACTGATTTTTACAATTGGGTGGGACAAACAAACAAACAGAAAAAAAAAAAAAGATTGATAGTAAAGTTAAATATGTACTACGTGTTTATAATGTAACGATTGTTTCGACAGTACATTTATTTGCCTTTATTTTATGTGCTTATATTAAAGCGATCAAAAGATTACACAAATTTCGTTACTACAAATGATAACTTCAAGTGCCTCTTTATCTGACTTAACTTTCCACATAATCTTCAACTTTTTCTAATTGGTCGAAACTACTTTAAGTTTTCTAAATTTCTGCATGTTTGAATATTATTACGATGCATGAGGAATTATACAAATTCATTTTAGTTCTCCATGCTCTACATTAAATATCAAGTTCTCCTAAAATTTGTTTTTTTCTTCGTGTTAGTGGCCAAGTACTGAGTGTTAGTTACCGCTTTCAAATAACGCAAGATAACCGGTCCTAATAGAGTAGCTCCATCGTTCCTAACTACGCAAATATTGTAGGATCACACTGAACTTCAAAATCATGCCATGACAGAGCCATACCGATGAATCGATAATACTGTGAAATCAACAGACAAAACATGATAACGAGAAATAGTTCAGTTCTCGTTTCTCCTCCTCACACAGTATAAGATGTAAGCTTAACGTTCTCAAAAGGCACTATCAGTAAAAGATTGGATTAAAAATTTTGCTACTAATCGCTCGCAATGATCTTCGATCCATTATAGAAAAAAACCTACATATTCGGAATCAACTGGATTTACTCATTATATTTTGATCGTTTTAGAATGAAAAAATAATCGTATTTCATTTTGTTTGTTACTATGCACTTAAACATTCAATACTTGATATACATAAACTTATTTAGACAGTTACACCGACCACAGAATCATGATAACAATCTGGTAAATAGGTATTTTTTTTAAACTAACAAAAAAAGTGTCAGTACTCTGTACACATTTTGCATTTACACAATTTGAAAACTACTAATTCATAGCCCGGTTAGTGTCAAAATGGATCAATAAAGGTTATAACTTGTGAAACTCTAAGAGATGAAAATAAATTGTATCACCAGATAGTATTTACAATGACGACAAATAGTGGGATTATTTTAGTGGACTTCTATCTGAAATTTGTGCTGATGATGTCGTTCAGAAGAACGATAAAAGCTCCACGACCAAACCATCTACCTCAGAGAACAACACTCCACCAAAATCATCCACCTGAGCTACAAATCTTCTCCACCATCTCAAGTGGGATTATTTGTTGTGTTTATAGAAGTGGATTGATAAAATATAACACTGGCTTATTACGCAAGTAGTACTGTAAAGAAAGCAGTTAAACGTAGTTGGGATGGATTATTAAAACTTAATAATTAGGGTTTTAACATGAGAATAGAGCACTCCACAGACAATGTTACTTATAGATGATGGATTCATGATCTAATGATTTACATTTCAAAGTTTCACAAGTTATCTCAACCATCAACTAGTGATATCGGTGAAAACTGTAACGGGTCGTGAGAATATGCAACGGATAAGTTTCAAACAACAATAAGTAACTGTAGTATATTGCTCCCTGGTTTTCTCAATTTGATGTTGTTAGTCTGTAATACAATTTCACGAACTATTACTGTGACTTTATTTTTTTTACAATAAACTATTTGTCTAATCAAATGACTAGTCTGAAATGACGCTTAGCGATGCATAATAACTGACTCTATTCCAAATGATATTTTACAAAACTTTTCCATTTATAGTGATTTATTCTTAAAGTGATTTCCTAACTAGTTCGAAAATATCAACACTTTTTCTTTTCTATTACTAACAATAGTAAATAATGAACACGTTAGATGGTGGTTGGAGGCTGTCTACAGAAAACTCTAGACCCGGGTTTCATGCCTTTTGGCACTCGTCAGCAAGGTGTACCTGTAATCTTGGGGGAACTGGTGCTTCCTGAAGGATTCGATCTCGTGTCACCCAGCTTCATAGTCAGAGCCGTTACCACTGAGCTATCCGAGCTGCGACTAACCTCCTGTAGGACTGAGATGTAATCACAATTGATTGATCACTGGATGGCGATCAATGTCATGCGTGCCTAGTCCTTATTAGTGCAGATCGAATGCTATCGACCATGCTGCAATGTGGCCACCGGTCGATAACATTCGATCTGCACTGATAAGGACTAGACACGCATGACATTGATCGCCATCCAGTGATCAATCAATTGTAATGAACACGTTCTCCAATAATTATATATCTCGTTAATACATTGAAGTTTGCAGTAGAATAATAATTTCAGATAGTGAGAATTGTGTATGTTGGAGATATTAGTTTAATTAACTGTCATATGTGTACTGTACACATTCTAATAACACACAGTGTGAATTATTATAAAAAGGAGAGTTGAATTATGTTTGATTATGAATTGTGAAAATACGTAAAACAGTTTCTTAAATTTAAAAAAAAACACAAAATTACATTCAACTTCAAAACAAAGGTAGATTCGAAAAGTGGACACACTGATCCTAAGGGATTTTTTTATCCAATTGTTGGAATATATGGAATTGAATTTAAACAGAAGTTTTGATATAATCTATATTTATAAAATGACTATATTTTTGATAGCTATATGTTTCGGCCTATTGGAATCATGTCACCAAAGTTTACCTGTGAATCCCTTTTGATTGATGGTTACTGTGTAATATTTTTAGTCTGTGTAAACAAATATATATGAGATAAGGATAAATCCGATTGACGAGATCAAAAGAAAACAGGAAAAAAATGCGAGCACCCGATTCTACTATTAGTCAGTCAATGTAAAAAAAATGCCCTGGTACGGCCGAGAGTGGGGAGAGTCAGCTCTCCCTCTAGAAATGTTCTTACATGGCCACGCGTATATAGCCTCTGCCACAGAAGTCCTACTCACTACCCTCTCGCACCACGGGTGTTGTTTACAAAATTGAGAGGACGAAAAGCGAATGTCCGGTGTTTTAACCGGGTTGGCAGATATGGAGGATCCACCTCGATTCAAAACCAATGGTGTACATGGGCTCCAGTACCTTAAGGGAACAAATGGCGTATGAAGCAATCGTTAGTCATCGGCTACCATGGGACTGCATCTCCTTACGATGCTCCACTGCCTTGTAGATTAAACCTTTAGGTCGAAGGCTTCCGGTGTAGCACACTAAGAAAACCACCTGCTTCGGTTTGGGCACACGAGCAGTATCACAGCCCTCACACAAATCAAACGAGATTTGTGTGGCGCATGTCTATTTGGTGCCCCCCCTGTACCAATATCTATGTGTTCAAATAAATAAATAAGTAGTTCTAATAAATTCGACACTTAAATTAGTTATTGCCTATAGTAAAAAATAATTGATGAGAGGAGGCTTTTATGTAAGAAATGAGATTAGCCAAAACATTGATGAATATAATAATTATACATAAGCACATAATTTGACATTGTAATCATCTTTATTAATCATGATTGTAGAAAGAATAACCATAAACAGACTGACTAATTAACTGTGTATAAACACACTCTCGTGAATACTATTTTATCACCAAGATGGAAAAGCTTGAACATGATATCTGAAAGATATAAATGTTAAAGTGAGTTCACACATGGTATTTAATCTACAGAGAAGTATTAGATAGAGGTTGTGACATAGCGGTAGAATTGAGGGTAACAAATTCCATGCTCAAGAGTGAAGTTATAATGCCGATTGTAATATTAGGTTAGGACATTTTCCTATGGATAAGCAGTAGCTGTAGTGATACGATCCATTCATGAATGGGAGAAATTTCCCTTTATGAGGTTACTTTCAAGCATGTTAGGTTGACGAGATTGTCGAAAATCGTCAATTTTTTTCCAGTTTCCAGTCAACATAAAAATACAGTGCATGGGATATTGAGTCACTTAGGCTAGTAGCCACATTACAGTTTGATCAGTAGAATACGACATTGGTCATTATTCATTGATAAACCAATTTCAAGTACGTCTCAGTCCAACAGGAAGTCAGTTGCGACCAAAACAACTCAGTGGTGACATCTCTTAGAAGCTAAGTGACACGGGGTCAAATCCATCAGAGAATATCAGTGACCTCAAGCTTACAAGTATACCTTCCTAATGAGTACCAACTGGTACGAAACCTATATATATAACTCACTTCACTATTCAAAAAATTAATCATTGCTTGTTCAGCTAATACTTTTGATTCATTGAACTTTTCCTCAGCAATTTTAACTTCATCTTCAGGCAATCTTGAATTGTTTGCACCTATGAAGAAAAGAGAAATATTACAAAAAATTCCAGGAGAAACATATAAATAATGAAGAAATATACACTGTATTTTCATTTTGAATTATGGTTTCAAACTTTAAAAAGTAGTTGACGTAATTATATATGGTAAACTATGAATTGCGTAACAAGTATCGTAAACACTATCATTAGAAAGAGTTTGAAATATACACCGTTGTTGATATATTCAAGTCTGAATTTTGATTAATCTTCGAAGGCATATGTGTATCCTCTATGGGTTGCTTCAGTATAAGCTATCTTGTCAAAAATTTTTTAGGATAAATGGATTGTGACTAGCAATGGGATTTAAGATGCGGTTTCTGTCCCGAAAGTAGATACTGCGTTCAAAAATCAACACAGATATTCAGCTAACGAGTCTTAAACAGCACGAAAGTTCAACTCTATCAGAAGCTTTTATCACAATTCTTTTAAATTAATGTGAGAGATTTCTGAAAATTGATCATTTTAAAGATAGATACGGCGAACTACACTTAACTAGTAGACAATCATATAAAATTATGGAACGGTAAACAAGTATCTCACTTTATTCTATTGTATTCATCAACAGTGCACAGACACTGTTCTGCTATGAATTGAACCCAAGATCTTCAGGCCTGGCAACATGCGCATAATTTTCAAACCACTGAATCGGGATAAAACAGTTCATTTTCCCAACTTAATTCATTGTATAATCCAACATACATTCATTGGCATTACTGATGCTTAATCTTCTCTCTTGATATACTTGGACTTTATTGGTTGAAAATATGAACTATTGTGTATACCGACTCGGTGGTTATATGTTAAAGAACTTGGGTTCGACTCTGAGATGGTAAGTGTACAATCCTGAACAATTTTTCAAAATAGAACGCAATAGTAGTTCAATGTTTTCTAGTTTTTAACAATCGTCTAGATAAAGTTAAAAATTGATGCAAACTATGTTCAAATAGTAAACGATAAAAAAAATCGGTAAAATGTGGTATGCTACGGTAACTCAGTTTCATGCACTAGGTTATAAAACATTTCAAAAATCGTAAAACTACGTTGCCATCTACAAGACTGTTGGGAATGCTACATCCCCAGAACTCACTTGGTAAATACCTTATTTTTGTAATTTTATTTTAAAAATTTGAATTTCTTTGTTTAGGCGCCGAAAGCGCGCTTTTCACCTTTATGTCGTATTTCCTACTCGGAAGAATCTTAAACGTTATTGGTTCGTTGTATCTTTTAGTATGCTATTTTGTAACACTTCCCAAGGACAATTTTATGCTGTATATATACGTTTGATTTGTGCCTGTTGTGATCGCTCATGCTTCGGGCTTTTTGCAGAATATATTTCCCCGTTTCGAACTTGAACTTTTCTCTCTAGTTAGCGGGGGTGAGACACATCAGAATGGCTAGTTTATTTGATCTTTGGTCACAAGTTTTTGTTCCGTTCGCAAACTAGGTGAACTCATAATCACTTCAAACGTAGCAACTAGCATGATGGATATGAAGCAATTTTTTTTACAATTTTTATTGTGTTATAATATGATTAATCATAATACTACTACTACTCAATTACATCCTGTTTAAAATGATATCCAAAATAAATTTGATCAATGTATTATCATCTCAATGGAATCTATTTGGAAATGTTAATAGTCTATGATGAGATATGTTTACATATTTTGTATTAAATCTATAGAATAAATGGTAAGAAAATACATTTCAATCAAACTATAGACATATTAACTATATAATACGGATTCATCATTATAGTATAATCTAAGAGAGATACACTTTGGAATGTGATAGTATATTTGAAATAGTCACCTACTTATTCATTTATCAATAAAAATACAATAATAATAGGAACTCAATAGAAACATTATGAATGTATGTATTGCAAATGTGTTTTGTTTTAATACTTAATCATTTAGTTAAATGATGAATGAAAAACAAAATACACTTTAGGTATTGCTACACTATAGAAGAGGTCATAGATTTGAAAATTTATCTAATATCAACTTAGACAATCGATCAGTATTGTAACCTCTAGATAATAACCATATATATATATATATATATATATATATATATATATATATATATATATATATATATATATATATATATATATGACCGTTTCGTCCTATTGTGAGATTCACTAGTGACTAGCTTCAAGAGGCATTTCTTGGAGTTCTAGTGAGAAGCAGTGATCAATCGAGTTCAACTGTGTCTGTTGTGAGATAGTAACTCACTGAAGACAGTGGTAGATGTGTCGCTTAACTTTGTGGATTAGTTGAAGTTAGACATTAACACCGTTAGATTCCCGATCAGTGGTCTAGAGTTTAAGCGCTTGCCCTGGGTTTGGATCTCGCGAGGTGGGATCGTGGATGCACACTGCTGAGGAGTCACACAATAGAACGAGATGGTCGTCTAGTAATTCCAGGTTTTCCATGGTGGTCTAGCTTCAATTCACCCATGAAATTAATATACATATGTTGTCTTCTTGTGATTCAGATTTGCTTTATTAATTTAATGTTGAACAAATAAACTATCACCATCATGAACTTGTAGATGTTCAATGAACAGACGACACTGATCACTCCATAAACTAATTAGTTAAGGGGAGAACAATTTGACGAATGACTACATATACTTAGATCCATTGAAAGTGGACAATTTTTACAATGAATTAGTATGTAGTAGTACAGTAACAAAAACAAATGAAAAAATTGATTATAATTTACATTTCAAGCTAAACGATTTCCTATTCTTATACATTTAACACTCGCTTTTATCTTATACTACACATTAGTTAATATACTAACCACCTATCGTTTAAAAAAACTACAGAACAATATATGTAAGGGCGCAAAGACAGACATTATCAACAAAGAGTCTGGCACAGATAACTGTTCGTTTAAGATCTCATACCTCATTAGCATGAAGAGATCAAAATAACAAGATATATACCAAAACAGATCGAAGTAATGCAGTAGCAATTTTGGAATATGGTTCTAAAAGACAGAGTGAAAAAAGGAATATGAGAAAGAATACCGAAGTCCATAACTGAAAAAATATAAAGCATGAAAGCATCTGCTCCATTATGAACACTTTTGAGCCATGTCATCCAGAGTCTGCGACCATACCAACATAGTTCAGTTCAACAATTATTGGCTTTATAGAGTGACGCCATGTATCGATTTGGATGCTTCTAACATCCTTAACAACATACTTCTAAACTAACAACCATCGCTCATTGAGATAAACGAAGATTGAGCTTCCTTAACGCGTCGTAACTCATTCAGTCGATAAAGATTAACGACCTCAATAACTGGTTCGCGACCTTTACTTAGTACCCTACGATAGGGTTAGCCCCAACACTACTCACTCGATCGTTTCACAACAACAAAAAAAACAATGTTTCGAAGACACTTATGAAAGTTGATAATTTTTAAGTCACAAATGGACTATCTTTGGTTAGATACTAACGTAAACGTTTCGTATCGTTAGTTTTTTTTCGTCAGTCAATTGTTTGTTAGTTATATGGATTATTATAATCTAGCAAGAATGTGTACCGATTCGAGATGCTACCAATCAATGTACATGAAGAGACTAAACAAATAAGAAGCAGAAGAAAAAGGAAATAATAATATTACCCTCTAGTGAAACATTAAATATAAGAAACATCGTTTCCAAAAAGATTGAATGAGATGAGAGAATGAAGTAATTTCATACTCAAGATACGGGGAGGGAATTAGAGAATGAATGTAAGTGCTATCAATTTTAAATCGTGTTATTCAACGTTTCCAGTTTTCTTTTTAAAACAATTCTAATCTCAATTCAACAATCAATGATCATTTGAAATGATCTCAGACCTTCGTCCAACCAACAATAACATTCATTTCTAACCCAATCCCACATTAGCAAGCAGATGATGTATGCAAAGTGTTGACATATATTTCAACTGCCTCAATCGATGATCGTGTATAAGGTACCTTATTAATTAGTTTACCATTTCTAACTATAAAAGTCTAACTTCAGCAATAATTATGAAGGTATCTAATAACAAATCATTGTAACCTATATAGGTGTCTATTAATTCAATAGGTCAAGGTACTCACATAATCATTGATTACGTGATCATTTTAAAGGACAATAGAACGTGAACAGAGTGTTGTGATAATTATGAATAATTTGACTAAATATGTTAGAAAGAGAATGATTTATAATGATAATAATAATAATGAAATACGCAGTAGACAATCTAAATAGATTTGTTTCATTTACAAGATTGATTTGTTAGTGCACTCATTGGGGTTGTCAGTCTCTCTCTGTGTGTGTGTGTGTGTGTGTGTGTAAGTGCGAAACCATGACAATTCAGTTAACACTTAGATACAAGTTAACTTATCATTTACAATATTACAAATGATATTTTAATGTGATTATAATAATATGTACAATCAGTAAGCAGAAAATTCAAAAGTTGATTTTATATCTAATTTTCGACAATACATAATTGATTTGTACATGTAAACAAATACAATGATGAAGTATAGTGCAATTCAAGTTGTTTCGTTTTAAAAAGAATTAAACTTCCCTTCTGTTAATATTCAGAAGCGAATATCTCGCTTATAATTAATTATAGTCAGAAGGGGTTTTGTGGAGATTTTAGCAATTTCAATAGTTGAAATCATGAGTTCATTGAAGCTAGACCACCATGGAAAACGTGGAGGCACTGGACTCCATTTCGTGGGGGGTGGGATTATGGATGCACACTGTTGAGGAGTTCCATACTAGGACGAAATGGCCGTCCAATGCTTCCAGGTTTTTCATGGTGGTCTATCTTCAATGAACTCATGATTTCAACTATTGAAATTACTAAAATCTCCACAATAACCCTCCTGATAAAAATCATCTGCTCAATAGTGACTGACTTCAAGAGACATTTCCTGGAGTACTAGTGAGAAGCCGTGACCGGTGGAGTTCAA